GCAGAAGGCGCACACATCGCGGAGGAGGAGTGTGGCACGGTGCGGCTGCTTGCAGGACCGTGACGGTTTCTCCTGCTGGGGAACGGGGCTCTGGCCTGTGGCCCAACAGGTGCCTCCTTCAGTCTCACCGAGGAGGAAAGACTCCCGCACACCCGCAGACCAGACAGCAGGAAGGCTGCGGCAGCTTTCAGCGTGAGCCCGTGACAGACCAGGTGTCTCTGCGCGGGGATGCCGAGCAGACTGTGGTCTGTTCCTGGCACAGAGTGCTCTTCCTTGCAGAGGGCGCTGCTGGGACCTGCAGCACGCCTGGCTGCCACGTCTTGAGCTAAAGGAGCACTCACAGGGGTGGGTCCCTGCACACTGTTTATGTGATCGGCAAGAGCAGGCAAGGCCAGCCGGCGGTGACGGACATCGGAGGGGGCGGTCAACGCTGAGCCTTCCTAGAAAAGGGGCGCGGGTGTGCCTGACAGCTCGTTTGGGGAATACATGAGTACTGGCGTTGAATTTAAATTATACTTGTATTGTGTATAAATTATACTTCCATTAAAAATACCCCCCCCCCCCGCCCCCGCCCCCCGTCTCTGAAAGGACACAGAAGGAATCGAGTGTTCCCTGTGCAGCCCTTCCCGCAGGGCCAGGCTCTGTCTCAGAGCAGGTGGGAAGCGGAGCCTGGGCCCCGGCCCTCAAGGGCCCCACACTCCCCCATGACACGGCCCCGCAGGCTCTACAGAAGAGCCAAGGGAGCCTGCACTTGTCAGGTTGATGAGTGTGAACTTGGTGTGCAGCGGCAGACCTGGCTGCCTTGTGGTGGTGTGCCGAGGAAGGGAAGGCTCCGCCCTCCTCGGACGAGCGTCTACACACACACTGTGTCGTCCGTGTGTGCACAGAGAGATGCCCACAGTTTTCTGTGTGCTGTTGCCTTCCAGGGTGTGGACGTGAGAGGGTCGCCTTACTAACAGGTGTTGTGGCTGCCTCTTGTTTTCTGTTAGTGTGGCGTTGCTCAGATGCACGTCCTGGTGCGTAGTCCTTGCGTAGTCCTTGCGCTCTTCAAATACCCGGAAGTGAAGCTGCTGCTGCAAGTCCTGTGCTTTATGTATTGATTTATTAGTCCTCTTAAGCTCTTTCTTTTTTTAAATTTATTTATTTTTTATTTGAAAGGCAGAGAGAGAGAGGCTGAGACAGAGAGAGAGATATATTCCATCCACTCGTTCACTCCCCCAGATAGCAGCAGTGGCTGGGGCTGGGCCAGGCAGGAGTCAGGAGCTTCTTCCGGGTCTTCCACAGGGGTGCCTGGACCCAAGGACTTGAGCATCTTCCGCTGCTTTCCCAGGTGCGTTAGCAGGGAGCTGGATCAGAAGTGGAGCAGCCGGGGCCTGAACAGGTGCCCACATGGGATGCTGGCCCTGCATACGGCGGCTTTACCCACTGTCCCACAGTGCTGGCCACCAAGGTTCTGTGCTTTAAGAGCAGTGATACTATGACATACGTTTGCCAAACGTGGGCCAGTGTCTTTGTGTTCCAGATCTCATCAGTGTTAGGCATTATCATTCATTCAAAATTTTATCCAGCTAAATTTTGACAAATTTCCTTGTTTTAATTTGTAGTTCTTTGGTGAGGTTTCGTGTCTTCCCATATGTTTATTGGTCATTTCCTATTCCTTTTCTAAGAATTTTCCATTTTTCCACGAATTATTGAATTTTCTTTAAGAGTTATTTGTTTAAAATGGGGGGAGGGAGGGGGAGAGAGAGAGAGAGAGAGAGAGAGAGAGAGAGAGAGAGAGAGAGATTTGATTGATTGAAGTTCTGTCTGCTGGTTCGCTCCCCAAATAGCCAGAACAGCTGGGTCTTGGCCAGGCTGAAAGGAGCCATGAGTGCCGCCTGGCTTCGCTTGTTGGGGGCAGGGACTCAAGTACTTGGGCCATCATCTGCTGCCTGTTCAGGTGTGAAACAGTGAGAAGTGGACTGGCCAGGGCTGGAACCTGCAGTGGATGCCCGTGTCCCGAGTGGCCAGTGAACCTGCTGCACCCCAGTGTCTGCCCCCCACGTCTTTTTGTGTTTGTTCTTTATTTATCAGTGATGTTAATGGTTTTATACTTGACGCTGCTTGTGCTTTTCAAGTCTGTCATTTGGTTTTTCAGCATCATAGGGCCTTTCACTGTGGAGTCATTTCCAGACTTTTCTACAACTAATCTGTTAATCTTTTCATTTATGGTCTCTGAGCTTCGTGTCTTGCTCAGGGAGGCCCTTTCCCCAGCTGAATGTAACGCACTATTTTATATTTCCTTCTGTGTTTTCCGTCTTTACACATAGTTACCCCCACCCTTTAGATCTGTAATCATCTGGAACTTGTCTGGTAAGATCTCTCATTTCCTTTTCAGAAATTAGATTCTGTGTGAGTATTGTGTGGACTGGGTTGTCGCCCAGTCTCCCGAAGGGAGTGCTGTGTTTATCACAGCCAAAGGCGCACATGCTCGTGGGCTTGGTTTTGTATCACTCACTCTCGCAGAACCCCGCCTGTTAATTCCTGCAGCTCTGCTGCATGTTCTCTCTGTAATGCACATCCTTTGTGCCACTCTTTGTGGGAATTTTTGACATCACAGTGCCTGCTGCGAGTCCTCTTGCTTTTAGCTCCTGTGTTTTCTTTGCTCATTGCGGCTCTCTCACCGTCACCATCAGTTACTAACTGGACGCCTTGTGACCACGCGGCTGGGGCTTCGCATGTGCTATTCCAGGGCTGCAGCATGCGTCTCCTGGCTTCCCTCGTCTCACGTCTCACCTCAGTTGTCACTTCCTCGGGAACACCTCCCTGGCCTTCCTAAGGAGGTGTTCCCAGTGCCGTGTCATGGCCTTGTCCTCTGCGCACTCTGGGGCCTGTGTCCTTGCGATGGGAGGGGCTCCTAGGCCTGGGGCTGGTGTCACCCATGGACTCATTTCCCGCCCCTCGCCTTGTGTTCCCCTGTATTCACGTGTGTCCTTCATGGGTGGCATGTTCCTGTCCTGTCTGTGCCATCTTTTCCTTCCTGGGCCGGCTCTGGGCTCTGCCCCCTCCTGCTGGGCGTCCTGCTCCGGCTACTTGGGTGCTGGGTGGTTGCTACAGTCCGCAGCTTCGCATCCGACCTGACTGTTTTCAGAGGCAGAAAGAGCTAGGGGTCTTCTCAGCGGCCCTCAGGGCCTGTGGCTCAGCCGGGGTCCCGGCCCTGTGTTGACACCAGTCCTGGTGAGGGGTCACCCACCGTGAGAGTGCGGTGGGGGTTGTTCCCCACCCCCACCCCTACTGCCCTGTTGACTCCCTATTCCCTATTCCCTAGAAAGGTGTAGGGGAATGGGCGTGGCTGAAGAGCAGCCCAGGTGTCAGCCAAAGATGGCCGTGTGGCTTTTCCGGGTCGGCCTAGCTCTGCACAGCCGCAGAGCGGCCGGGTCTCCTGACACCGTCCTTCCGCTCCTGGTGTCTTCAGTCCGCTTCCTTGTCTTCAGTATGCTGCTGTGTCTTCACCTGCCGAGGTGCTGTTTCGGTTCCTTTTGTCTGTATCGTGAGTGAAGCTGTGCTACAAAGTCAGTTTCAGAATGGGAGTGAAGATGGTGGAGGGCTCCTGGTGTTGTAAGTGACGCAGTCCCTGCGCCATCCGGGCAGCTCACGTAATCTCTGAGGTGGTTTCCGCTTCAGCAGTGGTGGTCCCAGCCTGCATTAACCTCAGCTGTTTTGAGGATCAAATAGTACACATGACAGCTCTCTCTGAGCCCTGAAGTTTCAGCAGGCTGTGAACTTGTCTCACGCTGTGTCTTCAAGGTGTTTGGATTTTTGTGTTTCTTCTGGTGAGGGGACAGCTTCACAGAAGTCGAGCAGCCGAGTTTCTCTCAGATTTCCTCATAAACCATAATCTGAGAGCCAGACTTGAGCAGGGGGAGAGGCAGTGGGCAATGAGTGGTAAACAGTGCGTTATTGGTGTTGAGATATTAGGTTTCTGCTCTTCATAACATCCTTGGGGAGCTGGGGATTGCTGTACACTACAGGTTATTGCTGGCACACTGTCCAATTACTCTGTACTTCCTTTGCTTAGACTTTAGTAATTGGAGAAAGATTAGATGTCAGGACTTTGTATTTTGTTGATTATATTACTGAAGTCTCCTCTTTAATCATTTCTTTTATTCCTGGTATTAATCATTAGCCCCGAGCTGTTAGGAGAGGAGCCTCATGGTGCATGCTCTGATGTAGAGCAAAGGAGCGATGACTCACACTTCAGTGGGGGCAGGCAAGCGTTGATGCCCTTGTGGGCAGAGACGGGCGTGCACAGACGGCCCAGGAGATACAGCTCAGAGAGCATCAGGCCCATTACCTCCCCTGGCCCGTGTGTGGCCCTGGCTTCCCTGCAGGCCCCCTGTGCCTCTCCCTCCCCCATCCTGTGACTCTTGCCAGGTGTGAGTGTCTGTGGACGCGTCATGGACTTGCATTGGTCTGCCTGGAAGCACGCATTGTCCTTGCTGTGTTCAATATGGCTGCTTCTTTAGTTAAGGATGTGCAGAGACAAACTTAGCTCCATGAAACAGCTCCTTTCAAATCCAGTCCTGAGAACACCACTTCATGACGGTACTTTTAAACAGCGAATGTTGAGTGTGAGACAGGGAGGAGGGGAGGAAAGAAGGGCAGAGAGAGGCGTGGGGAAGAAGGAAGGCGGATGAAGGCGATACAGTTGGGGATGTGCTGGGTGGAGGAGGTGCAGGGCCTGGGGTTGGTGTCCTCTGGGCCCCGCTGCCGGCTGAGGAGGGGAGGATGCCTCACATGAGCACACGTGTCCTCTGCAGGCCCTCGGCGTCAGCAGGTGCCGCCTGGCTGCCTGCCTCCTGTGTTGAGAACAGCCTTCCCCTGAGTTTGTTGGCATTTGGGTTTCTTCCGGTTTGGTTGTGGGTGCACTGCGTGGTAACACGGGGCACTGTCTCAGCACTGTGGAGTTCGCTGGCCTGTTGTGAACCCTGTGTGTCCTCCCCCCTCTTTTCTGTCAACAGAGGAATTACGGAAGTTGAGCTGGTCCGGAATCCCGAAGCCAGTCCGCCCAGTTACCTGGAAGCTTCTCTCCGTAAGTCTCTGCACCCTCTGTGTCCCACAGTGGGGCCACCTCCCACAGTCCAAATGTTGTCCTTGCTTTGTGACACAGACCCTTATCCAAGATGACATTTCTGATTTCTTGGTTTAATTTCAAGCTTGGTTTGACACAGCTGGCAGAAAATGTGGATAAGCAATAATTTATGACAGTTGTATTCTTTTTCTCTTAGTATTTATTTCTTTGTATTCATGTACATGAAAGACAAAACTACAAAGAGAAAGTCCCCCAGTGCCCATAACAAACAGGGCTGGACCAGGCTGAAGGCAGAAGCCAGGAACCTCCACCTGGGTCTCCCATGTAGGTGGCCGGAACCCAGGCCTATGAGCCATCACCTGCCGCCTCCCAGGTGCATGAGCAGGGACCTGGATTGGAATCCGAGCAGTGGGCTAGTGCTGGAGCTGGCGCTTCGATGTGGGACGTGGTGTCCTAAGTGGTGACCTAAACTTCTGTGCCACAGCTCCCACCCCTGACTGTATTATTAAAAACAAACAAACAAATCCTTGTAATGTGTTCCAGCCCATGATAGAGAAAGGTTTTTGCACAGAAGAGTAGAAGCAGGGGATATATTTCCACTGTGTAGAAAGTAGGCGCGGAGGTGTGACTGATGTGTCTTTAAAGTGTCAGTAGCGACGTTAGCCCTGCATCATCAGTTCTGAGAGGGAGGGGGAGCCCTGGTCGCTATTCTTTCTGGAAGCTCTTGGGGAAAGTTGCTGTAGGTGGTGGTGGTTGTCCTAGCCTGGGTCAGTGCTGGGCGTGAGCCTGGCTCTCTGGTAGATTCCCAGAGTGGTTTTCAAGCTGCCTTCTTCTCTTTCCCCTTTTTACTGTTTTTTGGAGCTAAGTCAATAGGGAACTCTAAGTGTTTATTCTAAATTGGGTCTGACTTTCAGTATTTAAAAAACTCTCTCTTGCTAATGAGCCTAATAAATTTGCAGCTTACTACCTCGTAATCCTAAATGCAGATGCAGCTCTGAACAGTGAATATTTATTGATTAAATATTCTCTTGCAATTAGAATTAGACCTGCTGTGGTTGCTTATATTCTTGCTCTGTGTTTCTTGTTTTAAGCGCATGTCTGTCCAGTTTTCCAGACATTGTCTAACAGGGGGCCTGGGCTTTTCTGATTGATTTGTCAGAATTTTCTGTGAACCCACCCTGAGGATCCTTTATGGTGGTTTCATCCGTAGGGGCGCCTGTGTCTGGGTGGTGGCTCGTGTGAGTTACTTTGTTGCTGTTCTTTGCTGTTAGTTTTCAGCCTGCAGGTGGTGGTATGTTGCCCCAGTGTGTGCTGCACAATGACAGATGCAGAAATCCGCACCCTGGGCTTCCTTGGACGAGGAGCAGCAGGGGTGCCGTGACGGGAGAGCCAGTGGGCATGGGGAGACTCTTGCCAGCGTGCTCCTAGACTTCCTGAGCTGGCGGTGTGCTCCCTGGGGTGGCAGTGCTGAGGGAGAGAGAACCCGTGAAAAGGTGCGTCCCGGTGGAAGGGACGAGGCTGTTCCTGTGGAGAGGGTGCATTGTGTTAGAGTGAGCCCGCCCCAGACAGCGAGACAGCGAGGCTCTCGTCCATGCTGTGCTGTGATGTAGCCGGAAGCCCAGCAGGTGGGGCTGCCTGACCCGGATTTCCGGCCTCTGAACCTGAGCCCAGGAGCCTCTTTCCTGATGGCCCACTCCCGGGTATTCTGTTATGGTCTCAGGAGTGGACTGAAGCGGGTCTGGACCCCTGATGCCGGCAGTGCCGGTGAGAAGGTGCGGGCCTGCTGAGGTCATCTGTTCATTTCAGCGTCAGTTCAAGCAGGGGCCTCTGCTTGGGAGAGGGAGAAGTCAGATGCTGGCCCACTGGGAGGAGGCCAGGGCTGCGACTTGCAGAAGGACGGGGGCAGGGCGTCTGTGCTTGCGGGATGTTGAGGAGGCGAGTGTGAGCCAAGGAAGGGGGCTGGTGGTCTCGGAGGCAGCTTGGGTGCTGAGGGTCAGACTCGTAGGAGAGGAAGCTTTGTGCCTGGGGCTGTGGTGGGTGTGGAGGGAGGACGTGCGGACACGGGGACAGAGATGAAAGTGGCCGTTCTTGGCCCTCTTCTGGGACACTGGGAAAGCATGTCCTCCCACAAGGGGCCACGCAAAGGAGAGACAAGCTCAAGGGGCACGAACTCAGGAGGACAGCAGGCAGGGCCACTGGGGCAGGGACCGTGCTCACCTGACATCCCGGGGCAGGGGGAAGCGTTCTCCTAGGATCAGTGGGGCTGGGGCGGCAGGAGGCGATGGGGAGCCAGAGGTCGTGGGGGCAGGACGAGGTCATGCACGGGTCGCCCTCTCCACACATTGCCCGGCTTCGTCTGGGAGGGTTGGTGCAGGCAGCCGCGAGGCTGTGTTTCTGGAAGAGTGGAGCCCTGGGAGGTGGCTGCTTGGTCCATCCATTTGTTCAGTCGATATTTATTGAGCACGTTCTGTTTTGGGCGCTGTGTTTGGGCGTAGTAGGGAGATGGAAGTCCCACACCTCCGTTTCCCTGACGGGGGGGAGCATGCCCACCATTCTCTGCCGTCCCCTGGGACAGACCCAGCGTCTTTTTTTTTTTTTTTTTTTTAAGATTATTTATTTATTTATTTGAGAATTAGAGTTACAGACAGTGAGTGAGAGAGAGAGGGAGGTCTTCCATCCACTGGTTCACTCCCCAAATGGCCGTAACGGCCGGAGCCGTGCCGATCCGAAGCCAGGAGCCAGGAGCTTCTCCCAGGTCTCCCACACCGGTGCAGGGGCCCAAGGACTTGGGCCACCCTCTACTGCTTTCCCAGGCCATAGCAGAGAGCTGCATGGGAAGAGGAGCAGCCGGGGCTAGAACCGGTGCCCTCCGCAGGTGGAGGATTAACTTACTGTGCCACAGCGCCGCCCCAGGCCCAGGGTCTTAATGGGGAGGTGGGCCTCTCGCCTCAGGGTCTCCCTCCTGAGCATCTGTCCCTTTACTGAGTGAGTACTGCATGTCAGATCACACACACACTGGTGATTCCTGGGAGAGCTGCGTGTGCGCTCTACAGGGCCGTGGACACGAACTCGCTTACCTGATAGCCCTGCAGGCCGTGAGCAGGTAACTCGCTTACCCGGTAGCCCTGCAGGCCGTGAGCAGGTAACTCGCTTACCCGGTAGCCCTGCAGGCCGTGAACAGGTAACTTGCTCACCCGGTAGCCCTGCAGGGCCGTGAACAGGTAACTCGCTTACCCGGTAGCCCTGCACCAGTGTCTCATGGCAGAGGAGCTGTGCTGGTCCCCAGTGGCTGCTGGGAAGGGACTGGGTGGGGACAGGAAAATCCTGGGAAGGGCAGGGAGGAAGTGAGACTGGGGGGGAGGGGCAGGGACTCAGGCAGGGAATGAGGCTCCCTGTGCCTTGGTCAGGCCGGAGCAGGGACGCCAGCCCAGCAGGACAGACGCGTGCACATCATGCTGCAGGTGGCTCTGGGGCCCTGGGACATGGACGGACCCGCTGAGCTGAGGGACAGCAGCCAGCATGGGAGTAGGCAGAAGGGTTGTGGCCCCTTTTGTCCTTGAGTTGCCGACTTAAAAGCTGGCTAAGGAACCTCTTGTGTGTGGGCTCTCCCAGCACAGCCGCCTGCCCGAGATTCCTGGAATCCAGACCGGGAGCTGCGTAAGCCATGCCAGTCGCTCTCCTGTGACCCAGCAAGTGCTTCTCATGGGTCTGCCCATGGCCAGGCCCTCTGCAAGTGCTGTGTCGCAAGGATATTTTGGAAAATGGTGGGGGGAACCCAGCAAGGAGCTCAGGGCTGTGGGGTGCAGAGAAGGGGTCTCCTTTGTCAAGGCTGCTTCTCAGTCATTCCCTGAATTCCAGGGATCAGCCAGGCTTCCCATGCCTCTGCTGAGAGCTTGTGTAGATCCTACTGTCGGATCTCATGGGCATCTGTGAGCCACGAGGTCAGCGGAGCGTCTGCCCACGGGTGGGCAAGGGCTGGGGCAGTAGGGATGTGGCAGGTTCTGACTGCCCTCCTCTGTGCTCCTCTATTGGAGTGTCCTAAGTATCACCCGGGGGGCCCAGGAAACCTTGACAGCTGGGTTCCCAGGGAGTTCCTGTGCCCAGGCTTGGAGAGCACTGCTGGAGTGGGACGGGGCTGCATGGGGTGGCTGGGAAGCAGGTCACCAAAGGCCATGTGGCCCTGCCGGCGCAGGCAGCACAGGCCGGGGGGGGGGGGGCCAGGGAGAGTGCCTGGCCAGGAGACCCAGGCCAGGGCCCAGCGAGTGGGTGGGTGGCAGCGGTTTGTTCTGGCCCGTCAGTCCTTTCAAGGCCACAGGGTGAAGACTTGCACAGAGAATCAAAGAATTCATCGCCTGTCCAGTTTGAACTGTGGACTTGCTGCAAGGCCTGGCAGACTGCTGACTCTCCCAGTGCCTGTGGTTTGTCCTGGACGCAGTGCTGACATCTGTTGAGGGCACTCTTTTTTTTTTTTTTTTTTTTTTTAAATTTTTTTTTTTTGACAGGCAGAGTGGACAGTGAGAGAGAGAGACAGAGAGAAAGGTCTTCCTTTGCCGTTGGTTCACCCTCCAATGGCCGCCGCGCCGGCGCGCTGGCGGCGCACGCGCTGATCCGATGGCAGGAGCCAGGATCCAGGTGCTTTTCCTGGTCTCCCATGGGGTGCAGGGCCCAAGCACCTGGGCCATCCTCCACTGCACTCCCTGGCCACAGCAGAGGGCTGGCCTGGAAGAGGGGCAACCGGGACAGAATCCGGCGCCCCAACCTGGACTAGAACCCGGTGTGCCGGCGCCGCAAGGCGAAAGATTAGCCTAGTGAGCCGCGGCGCCGGCTGAGGGCACTCATTTTTAACTGATGAGTGGGAGCGCTAGTGAAGAACTCCTGCCGTGGTCTAGCACCTGCCATCGGACCCCGTCCGGTCAGGCTTTCGCTTCTGAAGTCCATGCAAACTGGGCTGTAACTTTTTAAAAATTAGTGCTGTAGAGAATCATATCTTCAGCTCCATTTTTAATAATTATTTCAGGAACGTGGAACAAAAACTAATTAAACATTGAACATTTACGCTAGTGAGCACAGTGGTTGAGAAGGATAAGCGAGATCCCAGTGTCATCTCAGCTCTTAGTCTATGGAGGTGGCTTTGCATATGAACACAGTGGGAGGGACTTTGTGTCACTGGGACAATTTAGATAGAAGTATATGCATGCATTGTTTTACATTTATGATTAGTGTTTTTATAGCATGCTAATACAGCAATTAAGTTTTCTGTAGCTGTGTCATTTAAAATTCATTGCATACTTGAATATATTTCATTTGCATAATTTCCAGTCTTGCTTAATTATCGAAAGGCCTCAACTTGCGTGTGTGTGTGTTTTCCTTTAGGAATGGGACTGTCAGGAGTAGGTGTGGGGGTTTTTATTGCCTGTGTTCCGATTATGACATACTTGCTTTTTAGAATTTGTGTTTCAGTAAGATGAGTTAAAGTTTGGGTGATAGGAAGTGTGTCTTAGAGCTGCTCCTTCACACCCCCCGAGGGTTCTCTGGCATCACGTGTGGTGGTGCCAGGCTGCCCACACCTCTCCTTGCTGCTCCCAGCACCTGGCATTACAGACCAGGCCACTGGGCTGGCACATAGGCCTTTCCCTCCCGGCTGCTGGACACAGCTGTGTGCCGCCATCTGCCAGGCCCTGAGGCCCTGCCCAGGGCCAGTCTGGATTGCTGCCCTGTGGACTATCAGAACAAAGCCCCGCAAAGGTTGCTAACTCATGCTTGTTTGTCACTACTTAGCTAGGACAGCTTCTTCCCTTGACCCCCAGGGCGGGGCTGTCCTGTGGGTACAGAGGTACAGAGAGTTTTCTAAGCCCTGGGGGATACCTGTGAACAAAAGAAAGGAGCAGGTAGGAGGAGGCAGAGACAGAGCCTCTGAGGACGTCTTCACAGACACCTGGGGCAGTGTACAAGGCGGGGTGTGTGCTGTGTGGGTGGTCGGGTCAGGCAGAGCAAGGACTTCAGGGAGGGTGGGAAGCAGGTACCTGAGGGGTGCGCTAGTGATGTGGCCAGCGTCTGCGAGTGAGCTTTCGCAGCTGTACGGTGCCCGAGGCTCACAGGGAAGGGCTCTGCTGATGGGCGTGGGCGTATTCCTTGGGCCTGCTGGGGGCTGCACAGCCCTGCCTTTCTCAGCACTGCACTCCCTGGACAAGCCTCCCTCGGAATGTTACCGGAGAATCGCAGGGTTCTTGTCTTCGCGCAAGAAAGAATTCAGGCATGAGACAGAGAGTAGTGGGAGGTAAAATAGCAAGGTTTATTAGGGAAGGGACATCCGTAAGGACGGATGGGCACCTCTCCAGACAGAGCCTGAGGGAGTGCCCAGTCGCTCGGACTTGGTGGGGGGGAGTGGGGCTACATGGTTGAGTGGAAAGAGAGTACACCTGGGCAGGCCAGGCGGGCGGCTCAGCAGAGAGGCAGAGGGCTGAGTGCACAGTCCGGTTGAGGCCGGGGTTTTTTAAGGGGATGGGTCTTTTTCTTCACACATCTCCTCCTGAAACAAAGGAGTTTATGGATGTAAATAGTAAGAAGCTCCTATCTGAGTTTTCCCTTGAAGGTATCAGACAGGAGGAAGCCTAGCTGGCGCCATCCTGGGTTCAGAGGAAGGGTGAGCAGAACCCCCTAGAGAATGGGGATCAGAGCAGGGTGTTTGAAATGCAGCTACTGGGCTGCATATGGGAGATTGTGGCAGATTTGTCAGGCAGGAGGGGCGGGACCCCCACCTGGCAGGTTATCAGGTAGGAGGGGGCAGGGCAGGATGCGAATACCGGGCTGCCCCCGGAACATTGTCAGCAGATGCATGTGCTGGACATAGACGTCTTCTCTTTAGGCCTTTATGTCACACACACATAAGCTCATAACTGACTTCCTGCCTAACAAGAACACTGCGTCAGAGCTCTCAGGGTGCAGCTCCCGGATTAGAGATCCCTCTCTCTCTTGCCGTTTCGGAGTTTGAGTTGGATGGTGCCAGAAGGGCCAGGTGGTTTGCACAGAGCGGCACTAGAATCCCTGGAGTTCCTTGGTGGCAGTGGGAACGCTCGTCTCTGTGACCATAGCGCTTTGAGGAGGGGACTGTCCAGGGTGGGGAGATGGAAGGAGGGGTTCCCTGGGCCCAGTCCCCTGGGCTTGCAGTGCCCTGGAGCTGTGGGCAGAGTTCACTGAGGGAATCTGTGGTGCAGGCGTCTACAGTGACTCCAGGGTGTGAGTTTGCTCCCTGAACTTTCCGTGAGCGAGGTCCGTGGTGCCTGTGAGCGTGTGAGGCCTGGGCTCTCAGGAGCAGGGCCGGGGGCTGAGGCTGCTGGGTGTCGGAGGGGTGATGGCCAGAGGACAGGGTAGCACACTGTCCTGTGAGGAGCTGTCCCTCCCCTTCGGTGACAGTTTCATGACAAAGAAGAAGAAGTCATCCTAGGTAATTGTGATTTCCCAGGAAACAACGTAGACTTGAAACAGCAGTGAGATGAGACAGGTCTGATGAACCCACATGGGTCTCCACCGGCTGGCAGAAAGGCCTGGGTGTTGGGCCGTCCATCAGCACGTCCCTGTTGCTTGTGGACAAAGAGGACTGTGGGCTCGGCTGGGCAGTGAGTGCGTGGTCCACTCTGCAGGCGTAGGGCTGTTACCGTTTCAGCACTGTGGCTGTGTGCAGCACGTGGTCCTTGGAAAACAGAGGCCAGGAGGCAGCAATAGCCCACCCTCCCTGAGCAGTCAGGACTCAGTGCTGACCTGGGTGGACACTGTGGGGGCGTGCCCCTCTCCACCTTAGGTTGCCTGAGAGCGTCTCAGGGCGAAGTCTTCACCACGTGCCTCAGCTCTGTTGGGGAGGGTGGAGGACCTTGGGCACCTGGTGTGACGAGGCTGCGGGGTGTTGGTTGCTGCCCCTCCTGGCAGGGTTTGTTGGGAATAGTGCAAGAACCCTGAAGAAGTCCGGGATCCCTCCCACTAACAGGTCACGTGTGGGAGTTTTACACGCTAGGAGCCTGCACAGCTGGGAATGAGCTGGGCAGAAGCAGGGGAGAGGTGACATAGAAATGCATATGCTGGCAGGCCACGCAGCCTTCAGGGTTACAGCGCTAGAGCCAGCGCTGGCCGACTGCCCTTGGAAGGTCTGGGCAGTGAATATTTCAGCCTGCGGGTCTTATGCTCTTTTTGCAGCCAGTCTGCTGTCGCCGTGATGCAAAACCAGCCATTTGCAGTCTGAAGACAAATAGGCCGGCCTGGGTTCCAGCAGCATTGACTAAAAAGATGGGTGGTGGGCTGCAGTGCCAGCCCTTTAGCTGTTGTAGGACAATAGTTAAGACAACGGTAGTATGGTCATGATTTTGCCATTGTTATTTATTTATTTGAGACCACGTGTGCATGAGCGAGAGTCCAAATGTGAGAGTGCTCCCACCCACTGGCTCACTCCCAGATGCTCACAGTGTGCAGGGCTGGGTGGGGGCCAAAGTCTGAAGCTGGGATCGCAGTCCAGGTCTCCCGAGTGGTGGCACGAGGCCAGCCACTGCAGTCAGCAGCTAGGACTGGGACTCAGACCAGGTGCTTTGATGTGGGGCGTGGACACCCGGCTCCTCTGACTGTGCAGTGTCAGCCCAAGGAAATCTTTCGGGAAAGGACTAACTGTAAGGGATTAATAAATTGGACTAATTGTAAGGGATTAATAAATTGGACTGCATTAAGGTTCGGAGCTTCTCTTCATCAGAAGACATCACCATCAGGGTGCAGAGGGACGCGCAGGCAGGAGGAAGGGGTGACTTCCAAGGGCGGGCTGTGGAACAGGTGCCTGGGAGTCAGTCGGGAGGGGGGTACCGCTGGAGAGGCCCCCCCCACCCCGTGCGTATGCAGCATGGGTGCAGGCACGTAGCGCCCTCAGTCAGCCCCCTGGGAAATGCAAGTCCGAGCTGCGTTCTAACTGATACCACTGCAGACCCGTCAGCCGCTAGCGAGAGGAAGCAGCGCAGTACCAAGGGTTGGCAGAGGTGCAGAACAGTGGGATTCTCACTGCTGAAAACCCCTCAGCAGAACCTTTCAAAGATACACATGCCTGATACCTGCACACCCAGGTATTCTTCACAGAGGTGCTTGTCATAGACCTCAAGAATAGGTACAGGAATGTTTAAAACAGAAGCTAGAAACAACTCAAGTGCTTGTTCCTAGTGGAGTGGGTTTCTCCCCTGGGGGTATTATGCGGGAGTGACAGTGAGGCACTGTTTCTCAAACCGCGATGAGCGAGAGCAGCCCAACAGAAGAAGAGGTCAGGGGTTGCTCGTGTCATGGACCAAGGCCTGGCCTGAGGTTCCAGCCGCCTTCCCTGCGTCCCTTCCCTGTGTCCTGCCACGCCGGCTTTCAGAGCGCCGGGCCCGTTTCAGATGGGAGCTCTCCGTTCCGTGTTCGTGGAGACTGACTTAGCCGTAACCTGTGTGTTTTCTGTTTGTTCTCCTCCAGGGTTACCTTCCTGCCAATGCAGACCGAAGACCAGCCACTCTGCAGAGAAAGCAGGAAGAGTATTTTGCTTTCATTGAACACTACTATGACTCCAGGAACGATGAAGTCCACCAGGACACCTACAGACAGGTGGGCTCCTGTTCTTCCTCACGGCCACTGCAGTGCTTTTATGGGAGATCTTTGTAGGAAGAGCTCCTTTATCTAGCATGTCCTTGATTGGTTCATTGATTTTTATTTTCTCATGAATAAATTTGAAAACAAAGAATTGCAGGTTTCCTCCAGTTGTGATACCTTGCTTGTCTCGCTCCTTCTGCGAAGGTGTGAAGGGGTTTTTGGTTGTTACACAGTAGACACCTGAGATCCCTTCAGCTGTGCCTGGCGGTTTGTCCCAGGATGATGGTGGGCGTTTTGGGAGGGTGAAGGACTGTTGTGCAGGCTGGGGCTGGGCCCTGGGTTCCGTGGTGCAGTCAGGGCTGAGCTGTAGGTAGACGAAGCTGTGTGAATCAGCTTACTTTAGTGGGGTGGGGCACAAGCCAGTCCACGGCAGAAGGTGTGGGCAATTCATCATTTTTCTATTTAGTTTAAGACAAAACGGGTGTAATTATGGTTTCTTGAGCAGTCAGTTGACAGATGATGTGCATAATGGGAAAAATACTTAAAATTGATTTGCAATTCACAATGCATCCAGAATTCGCTGTTAGAAAGCTCTTTGAGGACTTTATAATTCTCATTCTTTGTGTAATATGGGAAAGTTCAAAATGATAGTTGTTAATTGGTGTTGTCTCATCCATCTGAAGTCAGCTTCCGCCTTCCCCGAGGCCTGCCAGATTGATTGTTTGCCTTTGCAAACCCTGCTTCTGGGGGAAGGAGCTTCACCAAGTCTTCCTCCCCAGATGTAGGGTGGCCAGAGCTCTCTGTCAGTGTGGTGCAGGCAAGGGCAGGCCCGCCCTCTGGTTCATAGTCAGAGGCTCTGCAGTCAGCTGGGGTCTCGGAAGGCGTCTTGGTCTGAGATGGGACGCTGCTGAGGCTCTGGGGCACAGAGACTGAGGGGGGAGGCAGAGGGAGGACTGGGCCTGCACTGCTGTGTTTCCTTCCGGGGCAGAGCCAACCTCTGCTGGGCTGCCTGTGCTGGAGCCGGCACTCCTGTCTCACGCCTGGTGGCGCCCGGCCACCTGGGCTGCCACCCGTCCCCCTGGAAGCCGGCTTGAGATGCAGGTTGCATTTGGGTTTGGTTAGGGAAATGTTAACTTACCTGGGTTATTTTTTCACTTTACTCGTTTTAGGAAATGGATAAATCTGGTGTTGTTTTGAACATGTTTTCGAAGTATTTTTATTCATGAAGAAGTATTCCAAAGGATGACAGTCGTATCTGTCTGCAAGATTTACCAAGCTGTGTTCTGTTATGAATTTCTTGAGGGAAAGTTAATTATAAACAGGTTGCATACATCTTTATTTAGTTACTGTGCTAGGTAATGAAAAGATTCCATATTATTGTGAATTCCCAAAATATTCTCACATTAATATGAATGAGACGCGCATGCTGTGGTGGGGGTTTTTTCTCCGTGCCCAGTGCTTCTAGGAGCCGTGCCCCTCTGCTTTTCTGCCATTGCTGTTTGGGCGGAGCTGGGCCCAGTGTGGGGCTTGGGGTGCCTGGTTTCTCTTAGGGCTGGCCCGTGCACTGCCTTTGGCCATCCCCCTACTCTGGGGGTGGGGGGCGGCAGGAGGGTGGTGACCTGTGCACGCTCCCTGCGCCCTGTGTCCTTCCCATCTGGGCTTGCAGCTCCCTCTTTGGCTGCAGATGTTCTGTCAGAACTCACGCAGTTGCTCAGGGTTACAGACGCCTCTGGTGTGTCTTTCCCACCCTCGGTCAGTTCTGCAGGCCCTCGTGACCCTTTGCCTGCCTGCCCAGTGCTGTGCATGATTGGAGACACCCAGGGCCCAGGCTTGTGAGGTACCTCCTTGCAATGCTGGGTCTACCCTCCTGATGATGGAACGGCAGGGTGTGGTGTGATGTCTGCCTTGCAAACCCTGCAGAGGCTCACCGTGCTCAGGCTGGGGGACGTGTGCCTGCACGCGTGTAACACGTGGAGCTCATGCTGAAGGTGGCCCTGCAGGACGCCGCGGGAGTAGACCTAGTGACCCGCATCCCTGCCCAGGCCTGCACCTGTGCACGTGGGTGGACTGCGGTGTCTTCCTCCGCTTCCTTGTCAGCAGCACCGTGGCCCACAGTCTCCTGTGATGCCCGATACGGACGCCGCTTGCCTCAGCTCCTTCCACTCCCCCGGGGCCCATGATCTCACTTGATCTCCACAGGAACATTGAGGGATGCGGAGCAGGCATGCTGTAGAGGAACCAGCTGGGCCCCGGATCTTAGTGACTCACCAAGGCCACAGCGCTGACAGGTGGCAGAATGAGAAGACGGCCACATCTCCTCTGCGGATCTGTGTGAGGAGATGGTTGAGTTCCTCTCAGTGTTAAAATGTGTACATCTTCCAGTTCCCTGCTAATGCGCCTGGAAAAGCAGCTAAGGGTGGCCCAGGTCCTTGGGCCCCTGCCACTCATGTGGAGTTCCAGGCTTGGGCTTTGGCCTGGCCCAGCTCTGGCCAGTGTGGCCATCTGGGGAGTGAGCCAGCAGATGGAAATTACCTTCCTCCCAACCCCGCACCATCTCTCTGTCTTTCTGCCTCCGCTTCAGATCAATTAATATTAAAACAAAAAAAAAAGGGGCTCATCTAACTGCAGCCTGTTTGGTCTGTTGTCCTGGTCAGCGGGGGTGGTGGCAGTGCTGGTGGGTACGGGATGTGAGGAGCCAGCCTCGATGTCAGCTCCTCTACGGTGCTGGGAACTGTGTCGTGACTCACATCAGACAGCGGCCGAGCAGGACTCGGCCGACACCAGCAGAGACTTTCAGACGCTTCTTTTGAAAAGTGTGCGGGATCCCCAAGGACCCGGTGGCATAGAGAAAATGTGGCCTGTGTTCCGGGAAGCTGTCGCAGCTGAAAACTTGTACACCATCGATGCACTTGAATTGCTCTCTGTGTCAGAGGCTGAAAATCGATGTCTGTTAATTGCTATGGATTTTGTTGCTAAATAGTGGAGGGCCCGCTCTGTTGCTAATCGTGCAGCCGCCACTGCGTGGTTGGGAGCTGGCAAGCTACCCTGTCATCCTCGGGCTCATGGGCTCGGTCAGTGGCGCCTGCGGGGGCGGCTCCTCCAGAGACGATCTCTTCCGAGAGCAGGTTAATGCCACCAGGTGTTGCTGTTCTGATCCCGGAGCTTGTGCCGTTGGTCATCTTTTAACGTGAGTGTGTCTTTCTCCTGCACCTCCAGATCCACATCGACATCCCTCGCATGAGCCCCGAGGCGTTAATACTGCAGCCCAAGGTGACGGAGGTAAGAGCCTGGATCGCAGAAGTTCCTGCCTGGGTCCTTCTCACTGTCCTGGGACAGGGGCTTCCCCGGAAGCAGCTGTGGGGCTGGCAGTGTCTGGAGAGTTCGGCCCAGTCGGCCCACTTAGCAACAAGGGTCTCCTAAGGGTTGTGAAAATGTTTTTGTTGTGCAGTGCCGATACATACAAACACACACTTGTGCCTGCTGCCCCTCTAGAACCCTGCCTATGCTGACTCAGCACGCGCACAAATAGGGACCTGGTGGCTGGTGCGGAAGCTGCTTCTCTGTCCTCACAGCCCCCTCCCTGGAGCACGGCTGACCCCTCACTGCACTCTTACGTTTAATGTTCTTCATAAATAATACATCAGTGGGTGTGGCCTCTGGGAGCTGTACCATTCTCTGTGTAGTCTAGTCTCTGCAGGTGTGCTTTTTATGCTCTGTTTTTTTTTTTTTTTTTTAATAAGGTATATTTTTGTTTATTTGAAAGGCAGAGTTACAGAGAGAGAGAGAGAGAAATCTTCCATCCACTGGTTCCTTCCCCAAATGGCTGCAACTGTTGGGGTTGTGCCAAGCTGAAGCCAGGAGCCAGGAGCTTCTTCCAGGTCTTCCACGTGGGTGTAGGGGCCCAAGCACTTGGGCCATCTTCTACTGCTTTCCTAGGTGCATTTTAGCAGGGAGCTGGATTAGAAGTAGAGTAGCCAGGTCTCAAATTGGTACCCAAGTAAGGGTGCCGGTGGTACAGGAAGTGGCTCAACCCTCTGTGCCACAGTGTGGGCCCCTATGTTATTTTCCAAGATTCATATAATCTGTTACATCTCGTACTATAATAGTCCATTTTAGAAATATCTCACACTTAGCATTTTACATTTTTTAAAGGTTTATTTATTTATTTGAAAGGCAGTATGATGGAGAGAGAGGGAGGGAGGGAGAGAGAGAGAGAGAGATTTTCCATCTGCTGGTTCATTTCCCAAAAGCTCACAACAGCCAGGGCTAAGCCAGGTCAAAACCGGAAGCCAGGAACTTCACTTGGGTCTCTCACAGGGTGGTGGGAACCCAGGCTCTGGGCCGTCATCCTCTGCCTTTTCAATCCAGGAAGCTGGATTGCAAGTGTGAAGCAGTGAGACTGAAACCTGGTGCTCTCTGGGATCCAGGTGTCCCAGCAGGTACTCAGCCGGCTGCCCTGCAGCGCTTGCCCGTGTTGCCTGGAGCCTTCGTGTGTATTTATGCGAGCATTTGCTTTTATTAACCGAGTTGAGCGTCTGGTCACATGATTGAGAAACGTTCTTGTTCCTCCTTCTGGGAATTACTTGTTCCTACTTTTGCCCATTTTCCTTTTGGGTTGTTGATCTGATTTTTTTTAATAAGTTGATCCTTACATGTCGGGGATCCTAGTTCTTTGTCCGTGTGTGTGAGGCAGATACCTCCCCACCCCGTGGCTTGTTCCTCACCTTCTCTGGCTGCGGATGGTGAGAAGTTCTTGGTTTCCGTGAGGCTGGAACTGTCGGTCTTGTCTTTCCTGGCTAGCGCTGGTGTGCTTCACCTGAGATGTCTTCCCTACACATTCATCACGAAGGCTTTCTCCCTTGTTTCCTCCGAAAGTTGTGCTCTTCCCGCTGGCGCGTTCTGTTCCTGTAACTGGTAGTCGTGGGATGTGAGGCCGGGTCTGGCTTTCTCAGGTGAGGACCAGTCTGTGCCGGTGTGGCTTATGGACTCCAGCTTGACTTTTTTTTAAAGATTTATTTTATTTATTTGAAAGAGTTACAGAGAGAGATAGAGCCAGAGAGAGACAGAGAGAGGTCTTCCATCCGCTGGCTCACTCCCCAAATGACCGCAATGGCCAGAGCTGTGCTGAGCCGAGCCAGGAGCTTCTTCTGGGTCTCCCACACGGGTGCAGGGGCCCAAGGACTTGGACCATCTTCTTCTGCTTTCCCAGGCCATAGCAGGAAGCTGGATCGGAAGAGGAGCAGCCAGAACATGAACTGGCACCCACGTGGATGCCGGTGCTGCCGGTGGAGGCTTTAACACTCTTGTTTTCTGTCTTGATGATTCCAGCAGATGCACTTGTAAGCCTTGACGTGTCTTGTCTACTTAGCACACCTGTGTAAAGAAGTTGCGCTGCGTAAAGGGAGCCGCGGTCTTTGGCAGAGTCATTTTGAGACGTTCCTCTTGCGTGTCCCTCTCAGTGGTTGTGCTTGCTCTATCTGGAAAGTGGGAAAGAATACATTTATGACCTCCTTTGTGCTTAATCTGTCGACGGAAAATGGTCTGTCACCAGGTTTTGGCTCCTTTGTACTGATGTTTTTCGCCACCACTTTTGCCACATTCCTGGTCGGGCTGACTGAATGGGTTTCTGGGTCTCATTGCTGACCAGAGCCACCACTAGGCGTCAGTGGCCCTCTTGTCTGTGACCGCCTTGACCTTGCTTCTGTTGGTCCGGGGTCCCTGCCCCAATAGGCAGGCTCCCCCAGCTTCCTGCGAGGCAGCGATGTGTCCCCTGGCCGTCTCTGCAGCTGGTGGCCTCTGGGGGGAGGCAGGAGTCACACGTGCATCATGCAAATCACATGTTAAGCGGGGTGTTTTGAGGAGACTGTGGAGGGGCCAGTATTGTGGCGTAGCAGGTAAAGCCGCCTGGGGCGCTGGCATCCACATGGGTGTTGGTTGGCATCCTGGCTGCTGTACTTCTGATCCATCTTCCTGCTAAAGGCCTGGGAGAAGCTGCGGAGGGTGGCCCAAGGACGGCTCAGGCCCTCGCCACTCACATGGGAGGCTGGGCTGAAGCTCCCGGCTACTGACTTTGGCCTGACTCAGCCCTGGCCGTTGCAGGCATTGAGGAGTGACCAGTGGATGGAAGATCTCTCTGTCTGTCCCTCTCTCAGTCTCAAACTCTTTCACATACATAGATAAATCCAAGAGTGTGGAGCCGTTGGTGTGTGGTGCCAGTAGGCACAGTCGGGTTGTGGTTTCTGGCATTGCAGAGGGCAGGCTTCCGTGTGAGCATGTCTGCAAGTGACAGCAAGTCCCCGGCAGAGCCGTAGGAGGCCCCTTGTCAGCGAATCTGCTGCTCTGCGCTTGGCTCCAGGCTCCTGCTCCCCCTGGCTGCTGTGAGCTGCCCCTCACCTTTGCATTCTGGCAGTGGGGAATTCTAGTGGGAGGGGGCTGCAGAAGGGCCAGCCCCTCCCTTTACAGGTGTGGGGAGGAAGCTGCCTGCGAGGCTTCTGCTGGTAACCTTCAGGCCGTCCCTCGGCTTGCACCCTCCTGGCTCCCCTTCGTGGTGTGGCTGTCCTTAGCCGCGCCGGAACCTGGAAGACACAGTGCTGGTGTAGCTGTCGGGAGCTGCACAGGAAGGAGGATGTGTGCCGCTAGCTTTCCCAGCGTGTGCACACGTTCATGGATTCGTTTCGCAGGTGGTGGCCTGATCTGCTGTGGCGTGTTTCACTCCCTTCTCCTTTTCATCCTCACGTCAGATTCGGAGGTCTAATTTATGTACAACTAATTTTCCCTATTTTAAGCAGACAATTAGATGTGTTTTGACAGCTGTGTGTAGGGAAGTAACAGCCACCTGAATCACAAAGGAAGCCGTTTCTGTCACCCGGAAGGAGCCAGCCTCTCTCCTCCCTGTCCCTGGCAGCTTCTGGAGTTTCATGATGGAGCCGCCCACAGCCACTCTGGTCTGTGACCTCTTTTTCTTAGCACCGTGCTTCTGACTCGCGGGTGTGCAGGAGTCAGTGCTCCTTGCCTTCTGCTCCGAGGAGTGTCCTGTGAGTGCTGCCCGGGGGCTTTGCTCACCAGTGGATGGGCCCCCGGGCTCTGCTCTTACTCTTCTCCACTGCAAATTGGATTGGCTGTAAACCGTCCTGTGCAAGTCTAGTGAAGGCGTGAACTGGCGCCCATATAGGATGCTGTGCTGCAGATGGTGGCTTTACCTGCTAGACCACGGCGCCGGCCTCTGGCTGTAGCCTTGGTGTGGAGTGGAGTAGAGGCCCTGATCCTGATGGGAGGAGCAGGGGCTGACCAGGGACCTGAGGCCAAGTTCAAGTGCGTTTTTAGTGTTTTCGGGCTCCTCTCCTTCTGCCTGGAGGGCCTCCTGGCGCCTGCTCTGCTTTGTAGGCCCTCCTGGCCTTGCCAGACCCCTGTGTCCTGCAGGGCTGGCCCAGGGTCCCTGTGTTTTCTACCCCTGGTAGTCAGGTTGAAGAGCCGAGTGTGCTGTCTGGCTCAGGCCTCCTGAGGGCTCCGGGTCTTCGGGAGGAGCCCAGCCCATGCGGGCAGTCCCAGCACTGCTTTCCTTGGGTGCCTCCCTGACACCCTGGCGCTGCCTGATGCGCTCAGTCACACTGTCCTCCCTCTGGTGGCCACCTGTAGGGGCCTGGAGGGCCCCCCAGCCTGGGGCCACAGGGTAGGACTGTGTCTGTGTTTTGCCGCTTCTTGGGCTCTTTATTCGGTGTCATCAAGTAATGGAGGTGCGTTCAAGAGGGCCTAGGAAGTAATGCTCATGATGTAATCGAGTCATTGAACTCTGTTTGGTTGTATTTTGGGGATCTGATCCTGAGATGTTTCCTTCTCCAAAGAGAGCTTTGTTTCTACCAGGGCAGAAGGGTTTTCAAAACATGTGTGTCCAATTTAAAGGAACAGAAGTTAGGGGTTTGTGTGGTGGCACAGTGAGTTAAAGTGTCACATGCAGTGTTGGGACCCATGGGGGCACCGGTTTGAGTCCCAGCTACTCCACTTCCCATCCAGCTCCCTGCTAGTGCTCCTGAGAAAACAGCAGAAGGTGGTCCAGGTGCTTGGGCCCTGCACTCACGTGGGAGACTGATGGAGTTCCAGGCTCCTATGCTTGGCCTGACCCACTCCTGACTGTTTTGGCCATCTGGGCAATGACCCAGTGAGTAGAAGATCAGTCTCAGTCTCTCAGTCTCTCCTTCCTCCCCCCATCCCCCTGTCTCTAACTCTGCCTTTCAAATAAGTAAACCAGAAAGAAACTAAAACCGAAAAACTAACTGGGTCCC